CCATCCCAGTCCACCCCAGTTTCACCCCAGTTGCGCCACTGGGGCTGAATTGCCTTCCCAGTTGCATCCCAGTTGCATCCCAGTTGCATCCCAGTTCACCCACTGGGGCTGCTTTACATCCCAGTTCATCCCAGTTCCATCCCAGTTCCCCCCAGTTTACACCAGTCCATCCCGGCCCAGCCCCGTTACCCAGCACTGGGACCAGTGTGACCAGTTACAGCCCAGTTTGAACCAGTAAAGCCCCCACTGGGTTCGGTGCCCACCCCAGTTCCCTCCCAGTACCCACCAGTGGGCCCAGTCCCATCCCAGTCCCATCCCAGTTACTTCCCAGTACCCACCAGTGGGCCCAGTTCCCTCCCTGTGCCTGTCCCACCTCCACCCAGTATAACCAGTATAACCAGTATGACCAGTATCCCTCCCCCCACACACAGACACGGCTCCATTGACACCTTTATTGACACCAGTAACGCTCCAGTACAGACCAGTAACACTCCAGTACACACCAGTAACGCTCCCAGTACACACCAGTAACGCTCCCAGTACACACCAGTAACGCTCCCAGTACACACCAGTCACAACTCCCAGTACAGACCAGTAACAGCTCCCAGTATAGACCAGTCATGGCGCCCAGTACGGACCAGTAAGAGCTCCCAGTACAAACCAGTAACAGCTCCTATTACAAACCAATAATGGCTCCCAGTATAAACCAGTAACTTCTCCCAGTGCAAACCAGTAACAGCTCCCAGTTTAGACCAGTAATGCTCCCTGTATAGACCAGTAATGGCTCCCAGTACGGACCAGTAATGGCTCTTAATAGACCAGTAATGGCTCCCAGTACAGACCAGTAACGGCTCTCAATAGATCAGTAAAGTCTCCCAGTATAGACCAGTAACAGCTCCCAGTACAGACCAGTAATGGCTCTTAATAGACCAGTAAAGTCTCCCAGTATAGACCAGTAATGGCTCTTTATAGATCAGTAATGGCTCCCAGTATAGACCAGTAACAGCTCCCAGTATAGACCAGTAATGGCTCTAAATAAACCAATAATGTCACTGGTGCAGACCAGTGACACTCCCAGTACAGACCAGTAACAGCTCCCAGTACAGACCAGTAATGGCTCTAAATAGACCAGTAAAGTCTCCCAGTACGGACCAGTAATGGCTCCCAGTACAGACCAGTAACACTCCCAACACCTCAATCCCCCCCAACCCCCCCAGTACCCACTGGGAACCCCCCAGTTCCCCCCAGTACCCACTGGGAACCCCCC